GGGCCGCCTCTTCTTCCCGAGTTAAGCTGGGATCATTGCGCGTCGGGTTCCAATGACCGGTGATGCTGGAGCGGTGGGTGGATGGTTTGGGCAGCTGGCTGCGTATGTGACGTTTTGCCAGCGCCACCACATCCGGTATCCACGTGTCTCCGCGCTGCGGTAGGTCAGGGGCCGTCTTGGCTTCCTTATCGCATGCCTCATTCTTTGCAGCGCCACAGTGGCCAAGTATAAACTGTAGCCGTACGCGTGCCTTGTGGCGTTGTAGGTCCAATATTGGGCTCCATATTTTTCGCAACATGAGGTCTGTTACTGTCAGTGGGCCTGTTTGGAGCGCTATGAGGAGCGACGGCGGGTCCGTGAAGACGGAGTCTCTGCACGGTCGTGTGCTTTGGCGGGGAATGATGTCCAGCAATTTCTGCAGGCCAACTTGCAGTGCGATAGGTTCAGCGCGGTAGCTACACGCCATCGGTCCTGCATCCACCTTTGCTGGGGCGATGAGCTCTCCGTTGAGGTAAAACATGGCTGCTGCGCCAGACTTGACGCCTAGTTTGACATGGCCACCCGACCACAGCTCATACCGTATTCCCTCCGGCGGCGCGGGGCCTTTAAGGTGGAAGTGTCAGGCCATCTACCTGGTGCATGATTGAAGCTTTACCTCGTCCGGGTCCTCCGCGGTAACACCTTCGAGTGATGTGTGAAACAGGGCTCGAGGTGCCCACCGCAGCGTGAGAGGCGCCGGGGAGGGACCGTGGCTTCAATATGAAGTTCTGGGCATTGCGCCATGATGGTGTTATACAGTTCTCTTGCGGGGCGGTCGGTCGAGTATACCGCCCTGGCGCTGGCACGCACAGCCCCCCTAGCGTTTCGCACAGGAGCATATATTTGAGGCTACGGGCGAGCACCGTCGTACTTCGTGGCTGCGGGCTGGCCTCAAGTAAAGCATGTTCTATGCGGCTGCCTTTGCGAATGCCGGCTATTATTTTACTGGCTTTGCATTGCCCAGCGTCGAGAGCTGAGCGCGAGGTGGGGATGCGCTCCAGCACAACACTTCTATACCATGCATTGCTTTGGTTTGTACGGCGGCCAAGTTGAAGGCACGCAATGTGTCCAACTTTGGTCTCCAGCTTCGGGATGAGACGGATGATAGCTGCACGGGCCATTGGTTGCACTGCTGCTACCGGCCCGCTAAATGGGAGCACATTTCGCGGTAGTTCTGGAATGTGATTCCAGCAGGGTCGGGAGTCGTTTCATGGCGACAAATGTGCCATTATAGGAAAAACTAAGTGGCCCGTATTTTTCACCCAAGTAATAAATATTTGGTTTTGGCGGCATTAATTTTCACGAAGTACTTTTATGCCCAGGCTGCTACCGCGTTTAGTCTCTGTTATAGGGTGGAGGTGGTGATCGCCCCGCCGCTGTATCAAGCAATAGGAGCGAGGTCATCTGTAAAGAAGCCGTGCTGTAATTGCAGAATCTTAACCAATCGGATGCTAAGGGAATTCATGAGAATAATAAGCATGAGTGATCTGAGAGCCGTGCCCTGTGAAGCTCCTCGCGCGAAGGGCGCCGGAGATTAGTGCATCTTCTTCGCGTGAACTGCTGCTGCCCTATTGCGCAGAGGCAATGCCTATCATCGAACCAAATCTTGTGGTATGCCTAGTCGGTGCATTGCAAGTATAATTTTACCACTATTTACTGTGTCGAATACTTTGGCGTAATCTCCAAACGCTGCTGCGGCTGTTCTATCGCCGCGCGGGCGGGCGATGCGTAGCCGCTTGAAGGTGCAATAGCTCTTCCACTGTGGAGTGGGATGGTCAGAATCCAGGCTGCTGTGGTGTGAGCGCAAGTTCTGAAACATCACGAATGCGTGCTGCTACGGTGCGCCCTATGAGCTTACAGAGGCAACATGGGAGCGCTACTAGCCTGTGTGGTCCTATTTCAGTCGCTGTTTTGCCCGGCTTGAGGAGTGGGATTATGACCATGTGCCTCCAGCTCTGCGGAACGACGCCAGTGCGCAAGGTCTTGTTGAAGAGCGTCAGCACAGAGTGTTTCAAACATTTTCCAAGGTGCCGCAGCGCCTCCCCATGTATCATGTCCGGCCCCGGCGCAGATCCTAGCGGTAGAAGGCGCAGCGCACGATCGAGCCCGGTCATTGGTATTGGCTTGTAATCCCCACCCCTTGTTTTGATTGGGGGCGGGGGGTAAGATCGCGGGCACCTTCGCGCCATTGCAGCATACATATGGACCAGGTGGTTTGCCTCTTGATGCTTAGAAAGCACAACCCCATCTGCCCTGACGGCTGGCGTGCTGAGGGGGCGGGGGGCGCATACACGCCTTATGATCTGCCAGCTGTTTCCGTTTGGGGGCTTCAAGTTTCGAGCAGAGTGTTCGCCACCGGCTATTAGCAGCTGCGCGAATAATTTCTCTGCGTCGAACCTTTAGCCGTTGGCTGGATTGAGCGCGGGGCTTGCTGGCAATTGCCTTATCCAAGTCTGCCAGCTCAGGGGTCCAGAACGGGGGCTGGCGTCGATTGCCCTCCGGCACTGGTGCCTTTGTGGCAATCCGCACTCCAGATGTGGTATGCTTCTCTATGGTATCTATGCGGCCCATGCTTTTTTTAGCCTGCAGTGTGAGTTGGGCCGGTTGCGGAACTTCCACCAGTTTGCTTTCTTCCATGTAAGCAAGGTCTTGTGGATCCGCGGCACTTCTGTTGGAGCGCCGCCCGCACCCACCTGGGCAGTTTAAGTCGTGATGCAGCGGTGGCTGTCAGGGGCGAGCCCCGCTGTCCAATATGACACTGCGCAGCCTTGGGCCAGTGCCACATCTGGCGCGGAGCCTCTATGCCTATCGGTGTGCCGTGGCCTATTTCCAGTGTTGGCAACAAAAAATTCATTGTCAATGCACCATTGCCCAACGGCATCGCCTCTGGAATCAGGCGGGCCCCGCGGCCCCATGCCAATGCGCTCGCATTGGCGTCTGCACATATGAGCCGTGGCCCGGCTGTAGCGTTGGGTCGATCGAGGTCTTCTGGGGTGATTTTGGTGGCAGCAGGAGGGAGGTATGCTGATGAAATCGTCAGCTTCACACCTGCTTCCAGACGGGGGTCACTTGTGCAAACCCAATGCCTGCAAGAAGCGCCGGTCCTGTCTCAATTTGCATCTTATCCTTGGCGAGGATTAATACACCTCCACCACGATAGGTGCAACCTATCCGACAATGTTGGCACCCAGGGAGTCCGAAACTATCTGCTTCAGGGGGGGGGGTCTATATGGACCCCTCTCAGCAGGCAAAATGCGAAGCTATCATCGTAGAGCCGTTTGCCCAAGGCAAGGCGTTTGGCTTGCGTTAGCCCAGCTCAGTTACATTGCATGGCCCTCAAGGTGCGGACGGGATTCCCCCCAGCATTTCCACTAAGGAGTAACCCGGTGCGTATGATACTTCTGACGGCGCGGCAGCACGCGCCCCAATACTGACAAGGATAAACACTGTGTCCCGGCAAAACGCGGCCGGCCCTAGCACTTCGCGGTGTCATAAGCCTGGCGCCGCAAAGTTCTTCAAATGGCGAACTTTGCTGAAGCCCAACTTCCCCCGGCAGTGTGGAGGGCTTTGCCCTGGTGCCGCGATGGGGCGGCCGGCATTGCCAGGGCCCTAACGGAACAACGTATATTTGAAGAAGTGTAAACGTGAAAAGCGGCGTTTTTTTTCGTTAAGCGGACGGGGCGTCTCTGGGTGGGCTGCGTGTTTTTGTGGTGTGCGGCGCCCTCCCGCAAGCAGCCTCACGCAGTGGCGCCCCGGAAGCCATCCAAAGAAGCCGGCGGCTGCGAGGGGAAAGGCGTGAAAGGAAAATGCAAAGTAATTGTACGAATATTTGTGAGAAAAAAAAGGAACGCCGGGGGGGGGGCCATTTGCGTCTGGGCAAAATGTGTGACTTCTCTCTTTTTTGAATCCGGTATGGAAAGGGCCCCTGAGGGAAACGGGAATTCACAGCAGCTTCTTGGAGCCTTTTAATGAATGGCGCCCCTTTGCTGCAGGTTGCCCCGGGCAGCGCGCACCTCCAAAACCCTTGGATATCATAATGAAAAAAAATGGATGGAATTCGGCCGCCCCACAGCGTCAGTAGATGGGTGCTGGTGGGCTTTTGTAAAAACCACCCCGTGGGTTGTTAAAAAACTTTAGATTTTACGGTTTTGAAGATCGCTACGATTCAACGAAGAAAAAATACCAATTGGGCTGTGGGCATGGGCTTGCCGCCCCTTCTGTGACATGGCGGCGCGCGCCGTGAACCCGCGGTTCGGCTTGAAACAATGCTCAAAAATCGTTGGGGTGCTCAAAAGCACCCCGGTGACAGACTCGAAAAATAGAGAGAAACTTCACCAGGAGTTTGTTTTCCCCTTTGGGCCTCTCGCGTCCCCGGGGGCGCATCAATTATGGAACGCTTCTGGAAGCAGGCCCCTTTGTTCCATACGGAAACCGAGGTTATGCGAATCCTACGTTGGCTCTTTCGCCGAAAGAGCCGCGTGACAGCATTAAGGAAGAAACGCAACCCGCCCCCATACGAAAAAAAAAACAGTAAGACTTGCTTTGGTCTTTTTCGCCCTGAGGGCTGGGAATTGCACCCCTTCCGCTGAAAGTAGAATCCCCTTGGGCATCCCACCCCTTTCTTTGGCACGGGCTTCTCCCTTCCCGCTCCTGCAAAGCATGCCCCGCGCCAGGCTATAAAAACAGGCTGCCGCCTGCTCTTTCTTTTATTTGTTTTTTTTTTGCGTGGCGCCTGGAAAAAGAACGGCCAAGCTTTGCCTATCATTTATAATGGTCGCGTTCCTTTTGTTCATTTCATATCTTCCAAGCAAATGGAGCGTCGCAAAGCATGGGCTTTGAAAACGTCCCAAAACAAAACCCTCTTCCCCCCCGCGTGGGGTATAGGCTGGGGGCGCTTTCGGATCCTTCTCTAAGCAAGTTTTGAACAAACCACCAAGAAAAATCTTCGCTTCCTTTTCTCTTGGTGAGGGTGTTTTTCTTTTCCCTAGAAAAAGCCAAAGCGCAGGCAATTTCAGTTTTCCTTTTCGCCCTCCCCCGCCCCATTCTTTATCTTTATGAAGCGGGCGGGGGGAAAGACCATTCTCCCCTTGGCCCTTGCGTTTCGAAACGCCCGGTCCCTGCAGCAGGCGGGGGTATGGAAACTACGAGGAAAAATGGAAGGAAGCAATCCTAAGAAAAAAAAATATAATAATGCAGCTTCCTTTCTTTCGCTTCATGGGGCCGGCGTGCTGAAGCGAACGCCGGCGTAAAGGCGAATCATGCGTGGCGTTGTGGCGCGCCGATTTTTTCCAGAGGAAAAAGGGAATGGAACGAACCAACGGCCAACCACCGCCTGCGCCCCGCGAGGGCGCCCCAAGCCACGGGAGCCCAGAGGCGCTGAATAAAAAAAAACGGCAGAAAAAGCACGCTGGGGTTCGGAAAAACGGGTTCCCGCGCAGGGGAAAAGACGCAGGCGAGGCCTTTTGAGATGTTATCCGCCAAGCGTTCGGAGGCGCACGCACGGACGCCAAAACAGGGCGAACAGCCGAAACAACACATTCCCAATGGGAGGAAACCCGGCCTTTGCAAAGACATGGCTTTTGTTTCATGGTGAGGGGCGCCGCCTTTTCGAGGTGGTGGGGGGGAACACCCCACCCTTTTAAACCGTGGCTTTCTGTGGGCGCCCGCTTTCGCAACAAAGAACGCCAGCCCCACAAAAAAAGCAAGGAGAAAAAAA